CTCTAACCAACAGGGCTTCTGAGGCTGACAGTCCCCAGGGAATAGCATCTAAAGAGAAAGAGAGGACATTCTGTTTGGTTGGCTCATGGCTATATAAAATACTACCACCAGATCAAGATTAACTGATTCCAACCACTTTCAAGGATAAAAACAGGACTCATCTCTTTAGCAGAACTTCCCTCCAGTGTTAGAGCAGTAGCATTTTAACCCCTGACAATATTTTTTTCCTGGAAGACAAATACTAAGAGTTATCCCTCTGTTTAGGAAAGTGATGATTTTCTCCGAATTCTGAATATGGAGCCCAATTCCCGTAGTGATGTTTGTTCTAGAAATATGGAGGACAGATACATTTGAGCTGGACATGTTCAAGCAAGTTTTGTTCACATTGTTTGTATGCTACAGTCCGCTATCTTATTTTTCCTTGATAACTATGCATTTTATGATTGGAAGTGATTGGAATCCATTATTTCAGTGGGGGCTCCTCAAGATTGAAAGGGTATCAGAATTTTTCTTTTTATTTCCAGGCTCGATCACCTTGCTATGTACCTGAATGTGTCTCTTCTGCAGAAGTAATGACTTATACACCCACTAAGATTTACTTGAGACTCTAATCTACAAAGCAAACTGGATTGATTCCACCTCAAATCAGTGGTTGGGGCAAAAAAGAAAGAATTTCAACCTACCGTAACAGCAATCATAGGTGATCTGGTGACTTGGAACAGTACGGAAATCTCAGAAACAGCAAAGTAGCACTCTTATAATCATGAGACAACTTGAGAGCTGAAAATTAGCCATGTGCTTAAGTATCTTGCTGAATTGGGACAATAGAGGTTGGAATTTTTGGAGAAACTGGCCAAAATAAGAATTTAATAGATGACATCTCACCGTGATGCTAGTTGTTCATACATAAAGTTACTTTGAGTACTGGATACCAATATCAAGCACCTGTTTGCAAGTCTACAACCAGAGATATTGAAGATGGAGGTGACATGTAGATGTTGATTGTTAAAATGAGCAAAACCCAAAAAGGAATCCAAAACCCTTCACACTTTGGTAGGACACGGCTTTCACTACAGATTACTGATATTTGCCCCAAATTGGTGAAAATATTGTGGGAACAACTCAAGAGATTTCATCTGTGTCAAATACCAGTCTGAACCCTAGATTTTCAGCTATGAACTAAACTCCAGATCACAGTCAAAACGACACTAGAGCCATATCTGAGCATTGCCGCCTCTACCCATCTCCAGTGTCTGAGTATGATATCTGAGAATGAAACTTTGATGGCATTTGTGGTGATGAGTACTTTGGGTCAGGGACATTTTGGTGTGTGGTCTGTTCAGTGTGCAGACTACTCACTTTCATCTACATCAAGCCATTCACTTGACTTTTGACCTTTCACTTGGCACTGTCCTGTCATTTCCTTGGTTTCACAAATTTTAGCCTCTCACTTGACCTATGAACTGTGACCTTTCACTCAACCTTTGATCTCATAAATTTTGGACGTGCATACATGTAATTGTGGAACAAATAAACAAAGCAGCTGGAAGAAGCTGTTCCTGAATGAAGCACAAGTGGAAGGGATATAATGAGCATTCACAACCCTGGCAGACAACTTCAGACCCAATGGAAATGTCCTTCTGTTCTGATGAGGACTGGCATATAATCAGTATGAAGTGTATTGTATTCTGTATTGACTATATATCACTGCTGATGTCTTGCATATATATTGCTTTGTGACAGTGGCAAGGAATGTGGGATTAAACTAGCCCCAAATTTGCTGTATAACATGAAATATTACTCAGCAGATACTCATCCAAAATTGTGTGCAAATTAATCATGACCTCTAAAGTCCCATTAGGGTCTTATCAAATAAAATCACCAAAATGAGTTAAGCTCACAGCCCTAGGCTTTGACTCCTCTGCTCTTACAATGAGAAAGAATAAAGCAGCCCATATCCCTTCCCTCCCCAGCCGCTTGAGTTCCTGCATCACCTCCAGGCTCACTCTTATTCCATAGAACTTTAAACAGAAAGTAATGTTCAGCCCTAACAGCAGAGCTCAGACTCCTCTATAACTAACTCAGTATCAACTGAGCACCTTCCATTTTCCTCTGTTCTGTTGATGGGCTTCAAAACAAAGTGTTAAGGAACCCTTGTTACCTTAGCCACATGGGATAATCCGTGGTTTAAAACAGTACAAGCACTATGATGCTCCATAGGCATGTGCATGTTTAGAACTGCAGAACTGTGATACTGGCTATGGACAAATGAACCTTCTAACCACTTTGGAAAGAGAGGGGGCCCTGACGCTTGGAAGTGTACATTGGCTCTTATATCTGCATGATCCTGTAGGGATACAAGTTAGTTGAATCACTGTAATCTTAGCCTTGAATGAAACAGGATTCAAGTTGCAACATTTGCTATACTCTATCATGACAGAAGCATGTTGATACAGCAATTGCATTATAATAGCTTATCCTGGTACCTTTTGATATCAATAAAATTGTTGCATCTATATATACTGAACGTGCACCAGCAAATGAAATTACTAAGTAACGGAATAACATAAAGCAGTGGTTTTCAAACTTTTGTTGTCACATAGCCTTTTACCTGCAAAATACTGCTGCTCATACCCCCTACACCAGTGATTCTAACTAGGGTGCCATAGCACCTAGGGGTGCCCTCAGATCTTTTCAAGTGTGCTGTGGGTTGCCACACAATGTTCACACGGTTAGGTGTGCAAACATGACTCATAAGACAAACACAAAGTTTTCAAATAGGAATCTATAGTGTTAAAAACATACTGGACTGTCTTTCTGAATTCTATGCAACAGAACAATTGAGCTATTCTTTTTCTGTAGTGAAAAAAAAAGGGTGAAACTAAACTGGGGTTTTCCAAAAGGTATCTTGAGTCTATTGATGGGTGCCTTGAATCTAAAAATGTTGAGAATTGATGCCCTACACCTAATACATCTCTGTGTGTTCATTCCTTAGAAAGAGGGTCAACACCAAAGTCAACACGTGGCAACACCATTACTTACTGCTCACTGACCAATCAGAAGCTCTACCACCAATATGAAAATTTAGGCATGTACTCCTTGGCAAAGTTGCATGTACCTCTGGGGGTACATGCACCATGGCTTGAAAACCACTGCCATAAAACATTCCAGAGCTCAAAATGCCATATTCAAACAAAAGAAGTGGAACCTGATTTGAGGGTGAAGATTTTTACAAGGATTTAAAGTACATAGATTTCTACTATACTAATGATCTAGATATTTATGTTTTGACTTACATGATGACTGCTTTCAAAGTCCTTCGAATAAAAGAATAAAATATTTAAGGCTTGACTTGTAGCAGTGCTGCCAGCCAGGATTCCCTAACCAGTCAAGGGAAGGAGTGGTTGACATAGGAAAAAAATTTAGAAAGAAACAGTGACACTTCAATTGTGTTGCTGCCAAAAAAGGCAGCTTATGGTACCTTAAAAGCATCCCACCTTGGCTCTCTGGCCTTGTAGGGGCAAATAATGGAACAAGCAGCTCGCATGTATATGGTAATTGCACATGAGTAGGATGTAGGGTGACGTGGGAGATAGACAGAATTGGTGCCAATCTGCCAATCTATTGCAAAGGAGATCTCTAACAAAAAGGAGCTTGGGGACCACTGATTTACTCTGACACATAATGTAATGAACCAGTGCATGCTGTCACTTTACTTGAATTCAGTGTGATTTTACATTTTGGAAGCAAACTATTTTAAATTCATGGAAAGAGAGACTATGCAGAGAAAACAACTCAATAGAAAGCATGGTCAGCTCTTTTTATTCTTTCAGTTAGAGCAAATTATTGGAAAGATCAGGATGGAATTTTGAACGTCCCACTAAACAAAGGTCATACATCATGGAATGAAAGGTACATATCAATTAGTGACACCAACCTGGACATTTTCCAAATGTAATGTTATTTGCAAAATTAATGAAGTGCAAAATGAATAAAGTTGTTCTTTCGATTGTGGGGTCTCTGGTTCAGTATCATGCTTGGGATCAAGGCCAGACCATGATTCATGGTACTGGAGTGGGTACCTCTTCTGATGGGCCCTTTTCTCGTTTAAAACACCCCTCATGGAAGCCTAATGTTGGTGTAGTTTGGTAGCTGTGATGCTTTTTGAAACAAAAATGGATAAAATGCAGAGAAAAATAAATGCATTCTAATCCATTCTAGTGATGGAAGAACCCCAAATGATCAAACATTGCTTCAGGCAGGTCCCCATAAGATCAGATGATTATCCAAACATTGCTTAAAATAGGGTTCTGCAAATCTGTGATAGAAATTATTCAAGAAAGGACTACATTTCTTCCAACACTTTTTCCATGAGATGTTCAGTTATCTGTTTCCATGTTGCCTAGAATTACTAAAATGAGGTTCTCCTCTTCTTGAAAGGGAAACCATTTGGCTGGGTAGAGGTTGTTAGGGCAGTTCCTAGTCTTTGGACCTATATTATTAAATATTTCTCTTAATCTTGGCACAACAAGCAGCAGTATGCTAATGAGATTTGCCAATGACAAAAGTTGGAAGGCATTGTCAGTATCATACAGGCAGAACTGGATGGCCTTGAAAATTGATCTACTAGAAAGGGGATGAAATTTAAAAGAATGAAGTGAAAGGTTGCATAATTAAAAACTAATTACAAGAGCTTCTATATGATAAGAACTCATGAGTGGGAAGTGACAAGAGAAAGATATGAATGTAGTAGTAGACTATATTCTGATTATGTGCCATCAAAGTGATAGAGCCATGGAAAAGGCAAAGCATTTCCACTAGAGATAGGTAAGTAATACTGCACTTCATAAGTTTCATAGACATTAAGGCTGGAAGGGACCTCGGAATACCATCAAGTCCAGCCCCCTGCCCAAGGGGCAGGAAATCAGCTGGGGTCATAGGATCCCAGCAAGATAAGCATCCAAATTTCTCTTGAAGGCGTTCAAGGTAGGTGTATGAATCACCTCCGGTGGCAGGCTATTCCAGACCTTGGGGGCTCGGACAGTGAAGAAATCCTTCCTTATGTCCAGCCTGGAACGGTCTTGCTGAAGTTTATAACCGTTGCTGAAGTTTATAACAGTTAAACACTTGAACAAGGCATGAGTGTGACCTCCTCTGGAAGACCATGTGCAGTTCTAACTACCTGCGTTCCATAAAGATCAATTCAGACTGGACTCAGTGCAGGAAAGTAGTACTAGGATGGTCAGAGGAATGGATATCTTATCTTCTAAGAGGAGACTAGGGTTAGGTCAATGTAAATGCCAAACTGTACATACATTTGGGATCCCATAAACCCACCAACCCTGCCTCCCTTCCCCCCCCTCCCCCAGAGACCTGCAAGCCCTCCCCAATCCCAACAGTTCCTCCTGCCCTCATCCTGCATGCCCCTTCTCATACCCCAATTTACTTAGATCATGTTCCCAGCATGACTCCTGGTACCAGCAAACATCTGCACAAGCAGGACCCAATCTATAATCATGATGCTTAAAGGAAGCCATGTGATCATAGATCAGGTCCCAGGCATATCTGCACATACCCCATGAGAACTTAGGCTTGTGTAGCTTAACAAAACAAAGGCTGACAGGGGTTATGAGTACTCTCTATAAATACATAGGCTGAGTAAATCCTGAAAAGGAATAAGACCTACTTGAACTAATAGATAATGACCACAGAAATATGATCAGGTTGGCCTGTGGGAAGTCAAACTGTCCTGATTAAAAAAAAAAAAAGATTGTGAACGCATGACACAATGTAACTGTACTCCAAGGTAAGGTACATATACTGCTGCACAAACCAAGGGAATTTTTTTTCATACTTTCAAATGTTGCCAGTTAGCTTTTGTTGGCATATGAAGAATACTGGTCATGGATAAATTTAAGCTGGACATTAAAAGGAGGTTTCTAGCCATCAGAAGAGTAAGTTCAAGGATTGGGAGGGGGCGTGCAAGAAAACCTAACGAGTTCTAAGATGAGGCCAATTAGTTAATGAAGGGGATTATATGAGGATTCACTGACCCAAGAGGCCTCTTCCAGCCTGTGTTCTAGTATTTCACTATATCTGTCTCCTGTCTTAACCACAGTTGGAAAGTAAAAAAAAAATATATTGATAGAGAAGTAACTGTAAATGTGTTAAGAAAAAACTTCCTACTATAAAAACAGTAGAACAATGAAACAATCTATTGAGGGAAGATGTGAAGTCTCCTTCACTGGAGGTTTTCAAAAAAAGGCAGGAGAAGCATCTATCTGGGATGATACAGAACATGCTGCCTTCAGGCAGGCAGTTGGACTAGACGACCTGGGAAGGCCTTTCCAACTCTGTGATTCTAAAATGTTTTGCGATTGCCTCCTTGACCCTGGAACATATAAAGCACCTTTAGTTTGTCTTAATAGATGCAAAGAAATTCAGACCAAAGGGACATATAGTATTTTGCTTGAAGCAGTCATCCTTGTCATACATGCATATGAGTATGCTAATGCATCTCCCACAACTAAATTACATGAATGGGACATTTAGACCCCTTCTAGTAGTTATATACCTAGCTATGCACCTCATGGACAATTAAAATTATTAGCTATCCATTAAACTAACCCACAGTCTGAAGCAATGTTTCAAAGTGACTTGCTAAAACAAATTTGTGAAGTGTACCTATTGGCCTTTTTGAGGAGTGGAAACAGATGAGTTTAGTAAACACATCCATTTGCTTGTAACATGCACAGTCATTTTTTAATACATATAAAGAGATGGATGCCATTTCCACTGATGCCAGCAGAAAAACTCACAGTATCTTCCTGAGTTTAAATGCCGTGGCTATAGGACACAGATCTACATTCAGAACTCAGATGCAAAGTATTCTTGATGCAACTGTGAATTTATCTAAGCAGGAATACCCGACTGTTTGAGAACTACTTCTCGTGGAAAGTGGCAGCAACAAATTACTCAGTTATCTTATGTGAAAAATTCAAGGGGATTTTCTTGGACAGATCTCAAGTAAACAAACATATAGGATTTTTTTCCTTTTCTTATCTCCTGCATATTTAACTAATACTTTTTCCTTAAATGGTGAGCGCAAATAATTTAATGAAACAGCAATACTTTTCCTCATGTGGACCTGGATTATTTCAGCCATGAGCAGCGTGAGCAGTCACAGGTGCTGCAGTAAATAAAGTATTAGAAAGTGTCTAAATTGTAACAGTGGAAGCACTGTTTCAAGATCCTTGTCTGCTTTTTATTAATAGTCAGATTCCTTTCTATCACCAGTCACAACTGCCTTTACCTTATTTTTCAGCAAAAATATTTTGATAGGGAAAGATCTATTAAAAATTACTATTACCATTTGATGGCCATAGTCAGTTTGTAGTTGAATAAGCTTTCAATCTTCTCACAGAAGGGGAGAACATAAACTTGTGATTCAGAAAAGAGAGGAAACCAGGGGTTACAAAGGTTGGGAGGCCAAGTAGTATGAAACAGACCCCCTCCATCAAGTAAAAAACTTGGCAGGATAACTAGAAACAGACCAACCCTAAAACCTAGGGTTCATGAGCTAGCAGTAACATAATTAGCTGGAATAAAACTAATATTCTAGTGTTAAATTTCACCTCAACACAGACCAGCAGTTATTAGTGAGGACGCTGGTAAGAATGGAAAAAGGTGTATTTTGTGTAAGAAATCTAAAGAGAGGAGAAAAGATACAGAATACAGTCACTTCCTAAGATGAGCAAAATCAGATCCATAAAACAAATGCTGTCATGCCTGTTGCCAGTAAATAGTGCTTGCGAGCAGATGGGTTTATCACTTGTTTGAAGTCTCCTGTAAAATACAGTGTACCAAAATTCAGAATCATTTGTTTCTGGGAAAAGAACCACGAATACCTCGGAAAAAATGTTGAACAGGAAATGTTTGACCACTGTTACATCACAAGATATCAAAAGAATTTCACGTTGGCTACTTCGAGACGGCAGGGTGATCTCTATTTTGAAAATGGAAATGGCCCTGGAGGCCCTACAAAACAAAACTGAAGCACCAGAAACAGTAAACAGACTTTATACTTTCCCCAATTAGTGAAATAAAGAGCAAAATCCTCTAAAAATAACACACATACAAATATCAGTGCTGAGAGAGTAGATAAATAACATTAGTGATCTGTGAATAGTATTCAGGAAATTCCATCTATCTGATGAGCTGTTGGCTTAATGAACAGCATTTCACACGTCATCAGTTTGCTAAAGCCCTACATTGAGTTTTACAGATTTCCTTTAAAGGCATTTTTTTGAAGAGAGAACCCCCCCCCCCCC